TGATCATAGTACACATGAGAAAGTACTTTCATGAGACCATGAGTTTATAGAATTATCACACACTGATAAAAAGGAACCTAAAAGATTAGAGAGAGGGATAGTTCAGTGATTAAGAGTGTGCATTCCTCTTGCAGAGAAGATGAGTTCTGTTCCCGGCATCCAATCAATCTTCTCTAGGGGAGTCTAGACTCACTGATGGCCTCCATGGACACATATGCGCATGCACACACACCTTGTTAAAAATATTAAAAATAAATACATAATAAAGAAAATTATCCATGACATTTGTACATATTTTTTAATACTGAAAACTCAAAGGATATAACTGAGGTGTGGTGAAATTTCATTTTGTGCACTCTATTCTAGTTACAGTCCTTACGAATAAAAGACAAGATCACTGAGAGTAAGGCAGAGAAGCATAATAGGAGACCACCATAGAAATAAAAACACCATTGCTGTAAGTCTTATTTAGTTTTGAAACTTATCAAGAGTGTGTCCTAGAGCACGTCACTTGTTTGAGCTTCTAGATCCTAAATTGTTGAACAGAACTAAAGATAGTATTCAGAATTTTTTCTTTTGATTTGTTAAACTAAAATAAGGAATTGTCAGTCACGTCTTCAATGAAGAGGAACCTTTTACACAGTCTCAAGCTTTTGTATTTTGTTCCTTTTACTTGTTTATACTGATAGGGAAATTTACTATTCTCATTGCAGGGAGCCAGGTAAGATGGGAATCTGAACAATGACAGTGGCACTAGCACCTTAAGACCAGTACATCATATATTATGCAATATATGTATCATTGGATCTCTTAAGACCTCTTAAAGTAGACCATGGGTTTTCTTTTTTTTTTTTAAATGTAACCACAGTGTACTTTATTCTAAGTACTAAATCAAAAATATAAATGTCTGAAAGGATTTCAGTGATAAAGTAGGTTTGGAGAGTAACTACAAATGAGTCTTCTATACTTCCTTGTAATTTAAATAATACCTACATGGAGATAAGGAGCTCACAGAAGAAATTTTGCTCCGTTTCTGAGATTACAGTGTAATCTGCAACACTGAGTTCAAAGCCCTAAAATTGTCAGTGGTGGGACACTTCAAACTTCTAGAGGAAGATCAATGCCAGTGTATAGATGCAATAATGCATACTGAAGAATTCTTTATTTTCCTACAAGCAGCCTATAAAGGACAGGAAATGAGAGCAATAGCTTTAATTACTTACGTCTACTGGCTAGAAGGATGTTCTGTGGGAATGACATTATACTTTGCCTTTCTCTTCATGTGGATAAGTAAATTACCTCTGAAACTTATAGGGAAATGTGTGTGTGTGTGTGTGTGTGTGTGTGTGTGTGTGAGTGTGTGTGTGTGTAAATCATAGATACAGAGTCGTAAGTTAGCACCCTAAAACTTCCAAGAGGGTTTTCGCCTTTTCTCTTTTCTATCTAAGCATAGGGAATGGTATGACTCCCTTGGCACTGTCTAGTTATATCTTAACTTGACAGAAGCTAAAGTCGTTTAAGAGGAGGCAACCTTAATTAACAAAATGCCTCCAAAAGATTGGATTGTAGGGAAGCCTGTAGGGCATTTTCTTAGTTTGTGATAGATACAGTAGGGCCCAGTTCATTGTGGTGCTGTCCCTGATCTGGTAATTTTGAGTTCTATAAGAAAGCAGGCTGAGTAAGCTATGTGGAGCAAGCTAGTAAGCAGCATCCCCCATGGCCTCTGCATCAGTTCTTGCCTCCAGGTTCCTGCCCTTTTTGAGTTTCTGTCCAACTTCCTTTGATGATGAACTATAATGTGGAAGTGTAATCCAAAGAAACCTCTTCCTTCCTAAGTGTCTTAGGTTATGGTGTTTCATCACAGCAATAGGAACCTTAACTAAGACACATCTAATATATTGTTTCTCCAAATTTACAGGTAAAATCTTTAAGTCTAAACTCTCAGGAAGTGAATCATGGTGCAGTTATTGGAAACCAAATATATTTTGGGGTAATCAATAATAACTGAAGTGCAACATAACTGATATGAACTTGGTATGTCAATACCACAGCTACACAGGATAATTAACCACATAAAGATATCTATTTTTAATGACTATTATGCAAATAAAATTATCTAATATACATGAAAGTGATTGGTGAATGTGAAGTTTTCTAAAACTCCTGATTATTGCTGCTATTAATATTTCTGCGAATCAATTTCTGCCTTTATAGAATTTGATCAAAGAGTTTGTATCATTTGCTACAGCACAGATTGCTGTGATAATTGAGCAAAAATATTATACCAGAAGTTCTTTGTAAGATATACAGTACCATACAAACGACAGTTACCTTTATTGATTTGTGCATTAATTGTTAGTCCTCAAACACAAGTTGGTTAATGCTCTAATGATGAAAATTTGAACTACAAAATCTCTTTTAAATGCTGCAATAAAGTAAATAGAGGTTGAGACCATCATTTCCTGTGAAAAAAGTTTTGTCATGAGACTGATTAGACTAATTGAACAAGGCCTGGTATTGATTTTGTAGTTTCTTCCTACTTTGGCTAAGAATGCGAATGAGCTAAAAGTCATGTATACTAAAATGCAAAGCTAAAAAGCTAATTCATCAACTTGAGAGCTCTCTAGCCACTCAAAAAGGTGATCCTTTGGAATCGTTGTGAAGTGTGTTAAAAAACGCAGAGTATCAGGTGCCCCTTCCAGATTCACTCAGTCAGAATCTGCAGTTTAATAGAACCTGGATAGGCTGGTTTCTCTTTGTGATTTGTAGGCTCCAGAGAAACTAGACAACAAAGAGACACTAAGAGCAACACACATGGATCTACATAGGAAGGTGAAAAAGACAAGATTTCCTGAGTAAATTGGGAGCATGGAGGTCAGGGGAGAGGGTAGAAAGGGAGAAGGGAGAAAGAGAGTGAAGAAAAAATGTATAGCTCAATAAAAACAATACAGAAAGATAAACATAAAAAATAATCCCTGAGTATACTTCTATTTATGAGCTTATTCATGAGTTCAACTAAAAATAAACTAGGAAGCTTCACCTTTGATAGTATTAATTATATACTTAGTTAATACATTTAACACTTAACTTCATGTTCTATAATAATTATTATTTAAAAATAAAAATAGTAGGGATTTGTGCACATTTTAGTTTTTATGTCATGTTTATACTTTATTTTTCTTAGTTAATGTATTAATTTCCATTCACCTTTGATGTCCACTCTGGATTCATTCATATATTCTATAATAATGTTTTGAATGATTTTAATGTATCTAATACTCTGCTTAATTCTGAGTGTACAGTTGAAACGAGACAGTCTGGTTTCTTTATATCATGGTACTATTAAGATTAGTAGTAAGAGAAAGAATCCCTAATAAACGAATAGTAAAGATGTTGACGGTAGCACTGTGGTAGTAGAAGGGTCCTACGTTGGCAGGTCATAATGGAAAGCATTTCAGCATCTTTGAAGACTAAGAAGGCTGCCATACAAGAGCTGTTAACTAAAGCTTTACAGATGAAAAGGGCTTGGTGTCCTTAGAAAGCTCAATGGAAGCTTTTGGGTCTGTAGTTGGGTGAGTAGGTTGATAAATTGAATATGCCTGCAATAGGCAGAGTATTGCAAAGATGGTCTTCATGTCTGTCACTGAAGTGTAATAGACACAGTCATTAATGTTCAACAGTCAGATGGGGAAAAGTGAAAATGGATGACTACATCTGAAACACCCAATTTACATATGAAAACATTAGTCCAGTGTTTCTGTGGTTCATGAATTGGACGGAACACATTAGAAGCCTGCGAGGGTAACGCAAAAGCCTTGGATGAAGATGAGAGATAGGTTTTAGGACTATTTGTTTGTATCTGTAGCTGTGGCATCAGATGTATTCCTTGCCACCTTTTTTGTTCTGCTTTCCAGTCCACATCTCCTCGCCAAAGCTGGCTTCTGTTCACACAGGTACCAGCTGGAAACTACAGAAAGACAGGGCAGCCCTTGCAGGCACAGCCTGTCATCCATGGCACTGGGTTCATTCCAGACTGACTTGTTCTGTTTCCAGAATTTACCAGATGCCATTAGCCTCTCTGTCTCCATACCACCATGTCCTCCCTGGACTGCTGACAATCTTGATGTTGCCTCACCAATCTGTTCAGCATCTCAATTCTTTCATCCCTTGTGTAAACACTTCACTGCATTAGAATTTATTGGCTTTAGTCATGTAACAGTGTTAGCCTTTCCTGCTTAGACCCTGATGATATAAACAATAAGAGGTAGATAATTGGATATAGAGAGTGAAACAAGAACAGTTTTCAATGATGAAAATCTGTAGCTCTGTTTTGGAAACATTTAAAGTACAAAATCTGTATGACAGCTCTATGCATTGGTTCAGAACTTACATCTGTTTCAGAATTATTATGACTCTTGTACCAATAAGATGCTGCTGCTGATTATTTTCATGGCAGTGGGAAAGCTATCCAAGGAACAAGTAGAAAAAAAGGATTTATACTGAATTGTGAATAATTTGTGTGTCACCATTATTGGAAAAACCTGTAATAGGGACTAAGGAAGTGTCCATGTAACAGAATGCATATTGTTAAAATAGCTAGAATATACAGAGCATCGTCATTATCTACCTACCACATCACATAAATGTGTTGCTAAATAAGATACAACATATTATGGGAACACAAAACTTGTAAGAGTCGTGAACTCTAATAAATTACAGAAAACAAGGCAAGACTAATTCTACTTTAACTGTGAAATAAATTGCCCCTACTGGTCTGATACACATTTTGTTTCTGTTCCCTGGGATAAAGCCATGGCCATACATGCAGCCAGTCAGAATTACCCTACACAGTCCAGGGGCCAGAGTGTATGAAATCCAGTTCATTGTCTTCTAGTCACACTGTGTGCCTTGTTTCAGAGCTTTTGTTTTTGTTGTTGTTGGAATAAAGGAAACTTTTTTTCTAGGACATTCCATTAAAACCTCGAAATTCTAATCTACAGGAAGAGAATCCAGGATTCCAGTCTTTCACGCCACGCATATATTGAGACATTTGTATGTATTTGTGTTTGGGTGGGGTATGTTGACAAGAATGCATGTGCCCACAGAAGACAGAAGATGATGTTGAATTCTCTGGAGCAGGAGTTACAGATTGCTGTGAATTACATGAAGTGAGTTATGGGACCAAATATGGTCTTCTGCAGGAGCAGGGCATATTCTCAACCTCTGATCCATCTCTGTACCCCCACTTGCTCATTACTAAATGTTCTTGCTTCTAATCCTGTACTCCTACTTGCTCATTCCTAAATGTTCTTGCTCGTTCCTAATCCTTTTTTTCTGGAAAACCTCCTGGTCCCACCCACCTCTTAATCAGTGAAACCTAAGAGCAAGTTTGATTGCTCAGCAGGGTCCCTGCTGTCCTTTGCACTCTAGAGTTGGTTCTGTGCTCATTTCTCAAAGGACCCCAACTCTAATCTGAATTGCTTTGATTCTGTTTAGTTTTATTTTCCACCTATGACATTGGGATGAAAACATTAGTAGATTACAAGCCCTGTCCTTGTCACCACTATAGTGTCTGACAGAGTAATCAGCACATGCATTCTTATGAATAAACAGAGAAAGATAGATTTCTAATGTGCAATTCAGAATTGGGAGATTAGTTTGCCTCTTTTCAACTGTTTTTCTGAGACAAATATTCTTTTTTATTTTATTACTTTTTAAAAAAAAGAAAACAAACTCTCTCTTCATTACACATACCAATCTAAATTCCCACTCCCTCTCCTCCTCCCATTCCCTCCACGTACCCTCTCCACCCTCCATCTACTCCTTAGAGAGAGTAAGGCACATTGCTTTGGGGAAGGTACAAGGCCCTCCTTACTATATCTAGGCTGAGCTAGGTATCCATCCAAAGAGAATAGATTTCCATAAAGTCAGTACATGCAGTAGGGATAAATCCTGGTGCCACTGCCAGTGGCCCTGCAGTTTGCAGCTGTCACCCATGCAACTGTCTACCACATTCAGAGGGACTAGTTTGGTCCTATGCTGGTTCCTTTCCAGTCCAGCTGGAGTTGGTGAGCTCCCATTAGCTCAGGCAGACTGTTTCAGTGGGTGAAACCATCATGGTCTTGACCTCTTTGCTCATATTCTCATTCCTCCCACTCTTCAACTGGACTTTGGGAGCTCAGTCCAGTGTTCTGATGCAGGTCTCTGCCTGTTTCCATCAATTGCTGGATGAAGGTTCTATGATAATATTTAAGTTATTCATGCTTAACAAAGCATTTGACAAAATCCAACACCCCTTCATAATGAAGGTCTTAGAGAGATAAGGAATACAAGAAGCTAATACCTATACTCCTTAAAGTGTTCCACATAATAGAAAAGAAAGGAACTTTGCTAAACTCTTTTTATGACACTATAGTTACCTTGGTAACAAAACCACAAAAACAAAACAAAAAAACAACAAAAAAAAACTCAACCAAGAAAGACAATTACAGACTGATCTCATTCATGAACATATATGCAAAAATACTCAATAAAATATCTGCAAACCAAATCCAAGAACACATAAAAAATCATCCACAGATGATCAAATAGGTTTCATCCTAGAAATGCATTGATAAGGTTCAACATAGAAAAATCTATCAATGTAATCCATCATATAAATAAACTGAAAGAAAAAAAAAAACCCTACTTTCCTGCTGACTGGCCAGATAAGCTGAGGCAGGTATGGGAAGGCCCTGGGGTTTTGCCCACTATGGAGGGCTCAGAGAGTAAGGTGTTCTGTCCTGTGGCTGATCACTCAACTCTTGATCCTTTCAGTGTTTTCTCAAGCTGTGTTTCGGAGTTCCATTGAGGTTGCAGGATGATAGGTGAGTTTGTGGCTTGTAGCTTGTGCTGGTCTGGTGGATGGTGGTGGGTATTGGGGCAGCTTACCTGCAGGAAACTCTCCTGCTGATTGGCTAGAGAAGCCGAGGCTGTTGGGAGAGGGGCCGGGATTTGGCCCTGCCATGAAGGACCTAGAGAGTGGGGTTTCTCACCTGGTGGCTGGTCACTCACCTCTTGGTCCTCTCTGTATTTTAGCAAGCTGTGTTTCAGAGTTCCACTAAGGTTGCAGGAGGATAGGCAAGTTTGAAGGCGGGATGGGACTATTAGTTTGCAGGGTCCGGTGGAGGGGGGGTGGGAGAGACACATATTCTTAACCATAGAGATGTGTCAAGTGAAGCCTGTTTGGGTATTAAGGCTGAGCATTTTTCAGAAGTCATTTTTAGAACCTTGATCTTATGAGTCATAGCTCTTTCTTTACCCTACCCCACCCCTACATGTGTAGCCAGTGGCCTTCCTTTACAGAAACCAGCAACAGAATCTTAAGAGTTTCTGTAAAATACTTTAGCTAAGAAATTCAGGATCTGGAAAGACAGAAATCTCTGGGATGAAAGTTTGCTGTTCCACTATTTTTGTTCCTGATTTGTAGTGAGGAGCAATGAAAGCAATCTGTTTACTTAGTGTCTCTGACCTGCTCAGTGAGCCTCCTCCCCATGCCTTCCTAAAACTGATGCATGTCCAGGTGAAACAGCCATTAATCTAGGAAGATATTTGTACTCCTTTATTTTGACATTTTATTGCCCTTTAACTCATTTGTGAAAGATATCAAAGCAGAATCAGGCTGGGGAATACAGGGTCTTTTCATTAAAATGGCAGATCTCTGTGAAATCTCCTCATTCTTCCCTAATGGAAGTCTTTGATCAATGCACAAAAAAAAAAGACTTATGAAGAAAGAAAAAAAAGTAATTTTGAATCAATAAACTAAAATACCACTGCAATAACATCCCAATGTTATTTAGGGATATAAAATTGTTTCCAAGGCAATATTATAAAATTATTCTTAGTCAAAACATTAGCAAGACTGAAAAAACAGGAATGTTTTCATGAGTGGCAGAGTCAGTCACATCATGTGGAATGCAAGAAAAGAGTATGACTAACTTCTGCTATTCAGGATAGGGAAGACGATAACTAAGTGCTCTTTTTTATCCACCAGCTTGGATAAGAAACTTAGGGAACATTCCCCTGAAAGAACCATTGTAGGGTTTGCCATGTCAATAGCTTGAAAATTAGACGTTTATGATTGGTCTGGGATTTCTCTAGTCTTTCATGGGTTTTTATTTATTTAATTCCTCTAAATGACCTTTTGCTCATCTTGGTACAGTTGTGTGACATTTTATTTTTATTTCCTTTTATAGAATTAATTAGTTCATTTATTTTGATAAAGAAAAACTTACAAATGTAGGGAAATGTGTGAGAGGAAAAAACAGTTGTACTCACATAAACTAGAAGTGAACATTGCTATTTCATCACGATGTCCTGCATTATTCATTTGTTCTCTTTGTAAAATATGTAATTTGTATATACACATATTAACATCTATGTATTCACATATTTTAAGCTCACATAGCTAAGCTTCTAGCACATGGATGTAAAATGAAATTATTTCCATATATCCAAAAGACCATCAAGACCTAACTTTTATAAAGTAGTATCTCAGACACTGAAGAACTGGCTGAGAAAAGCCCCTACCTCTCTGCCTTTGTAGAATTTACCTAGAGATGTACAAGCTACTTTCAGTGCTACACATCACAGTGATGTATGTCCTAATTTTAGCTTCTTGAATGGCCCCAAGGATTTTCCTAAAAAGAATTTGTGTTCAGGTACATGGTCCCTTCATACCTTCCTCTTTTCTTACCTACCTTTCCTTTTCTTCTTTATCCCACTCCATCCCTGCAAGAGTAGCCGGTGGCCTTCCTGGAGGCTATCATGGCTTTGCAGAGCCAGACTCAGCATGGACTGCCTTGGGAAATCCAAAGATTAGATATTAACTGATAATTAATTTCTGGGTATTTTATACCACATGTGTAAGAGGCCAAGCATTGGTGCAGAAAGTGATGATTGTGTGGTACTTTAGTTCAGACTCATCTATTCTGTTCTACACTGCAAATGTCTAAGTCACCAAAGCATCATCTTTACCAAGTAGCTGAGGATTTTATGATTGCCCACAGGTTCCCTGGGGTTATTAAACCTAACACTCTTTCTAAACACCCTCTTTAAGATCTTACAATGACATTTTCCTATCTTACCACACTTTAAATTATATTTTAGTGCCTCTGTGAAATCAGCTCTCTAAACAGCTGCCTAAAAGTGCTTAAAATTGCTCTTCTACCATTCCTGTCCTAAAAGAGGAAAGTCATTTTTTCTTGTTTCTCCTGCCTGTAGGCAGGGTAGATCTTTTTTTGCTACTATGCAATCGTAAAATGATGAACAAGTTATTGGGTTTAGAAGTGCATGCTCTTCAGCACAGTAAAATGAAAGATGATTCTTAAAGTACTACCATGGGTATGTAGACTGAGGGAAGAAAAGTGTGGTTGCAGCTGAGCCTTACTGTGGTTTCACTCATGACTCCATACCAAAGCCAACTTTTCTTACTATAATGATATTGACTTCATGTCTTCAAATCCCCACAGTCACACTCAAAAGTAAAAGAATTTCTTTTGTAAGAAAGGCTATTGTGATTTTCTGCAAATGTAATTTCTTATAATAGTATTTAAGACATCTTATCACAACAAATTAGCACCTGTGTGGCCAACTAAAATCCACTTAAAACCTGAGAATGCTTGCAAAGGGATTCTTTTAGAAAAAAACAACATTTAGCTGCATTTTTTGGATGGGCTTTGCTTGCTGGTGGCATGCTGCAGTTCCCTTAAGAGAGGTTTTCCTGATTCTCCCGTAGCAGAAAAAGAAAGTCACAAATTCAAAAATGCAACTTTTTGGGCCATGCTGCAAGTGCAAAATCTGGCTCTTTCAGGAGCCCAAGGCAATATCCCCAGTTAGTTCCTTGGGCAGATGAGGATAGGAAACCTGAAATGACCCTATCCTATAGCAATACTGACGAATATCTTGCATGTCACCATAGAACCTTCATCTGGTGATGGATGGAGATAGAGACAGAGACCCACACTGGAGCACTGGACTGAGCTCCCAAGGTCCCAATGAGGAGCGGATGGAGGGAGAACATGAGCAAGGATGTCAGGACCACGAGGGGTGCACCCACCCACTGAGACAGTGGGTCTGATCTATTGGGAGCTCACCAAGGCCAGCTGGACTGTGAGTGAAAAAGCATGGGATAAAACCGGACTCTCTGAACATGGCAAACAATGAGGGCTATTTGGACTGGAGAGGGAGGGGAAGAGGAGTTGGGGGAGGGGGAAAAGGTGGGAGGAGGGGGAGGGAAATGGGAGGCTGGGAGGAGGCAGAAACCTTCTTTTTTTCCTTTTCTCAATAAAAAAAAAATATTACTTACCAAAAAAAAAAAAAATCTGGCTTTTTCAGAAGACGGAGCATTTAAGTGGGGTTTGTAAGCAGAATGTTACAAACTGCTTAATGGCTCAATATAGACCTGCTACATACTTGGAACTGGAGTGTTGTGCATGGTTCAGAGGGAGCAAAGATCTCTGCCATGCTGGAATGGGTTGGTCAACCTGTCAATGCCATATTTCACCTAGCAATGTTGCAGCTTAAGTTTTTAAGAAGTTCCTAACCTTTTAAGAAGCACCCCTGGACAGTAAAGAATTACAGATACACAATAGGATAAATGTATGTAGGCCCAGGAGAGAGAGAGAGGAAAAAGTATATAGACAGTTATAAAAAGAAGTAAATGTTTTTTTTAAAAAAGTCTTTAAAGAGACAGAATACAGTCATTGATTAAAGGAGTAAAGATAATAAAATAAATACTAAAAAGTAATAGAGTAAGCAAAGCTATGTAAAGATGGAATATATGAAGAGAATCTGGATTATGTATATTACTGTGTTTTCTTTGAATTCTTTTGACTGTGAAGAAACTAAGTAAACAACATATATACTTTAAAGGTATTTTGACTTAAGAATTTGAGTCTAAGGATATGTTGCTTTGGAAAAAGGTTCTGTTTTTGTTTCCACAGAAGATGAGAACCTGTGGATTAATTCCAGACTAAAGTGGTTTGAGGGACCAACGCCTCCTAAAAGGTCACCTTGAACACCCCTCAAAAATTACTTCACCCAATAAACAGCAGGAAGCAGTCTGGAGGGAATTACACTCAAATTCCCAAAACTGGTTTATAAATGTTTGTTTACATTTAAAGGGTGTATGCTATAGAGATAGATACTTTGCATTGGTATAGATCTTGGTCTATTGATACATACTTAAGGTCAATTTTGTTATATGTTTATTTCTGCTCTTGATTAAGTTATTGTGATTGTGCAGTTCATTTAAAAAATGTAATGTATAATTAAAACATAGGTTAATAGATAATCATCTATAATAGTCAAGCTTGTAGTAATGTTAGTTAGATTTTTTAGATGTACAGAGATATATTTCATTTAGATAGGTATTCTTTGACTCTTTCAGAGACATTCAGAATATGGCATTTAGAATGTTTTAACTTAGGACTTTTCATGAAAGTGAGATACATCTGCTCCTGGCAATACCAATTATTTCAAGAGGAAGATGGGCATCAAAGAGGCTCATTATGGAGCTGATTAGCCATTTGGGCAAGATACTGCTCTTGCCTACACTGCTTGATGAACTGGACATTCAGGGCCCACAGAGAAATGATTGCTGAACTTGCCTAAAGGTGAGATGATCTTCCAGGGTTCCTGCTTCATGAAAGTGTCTGCTAGACATTCTGCAGGACACAGAAAAAAGTGAGTGACCAACTGTGAATATAGGTGGGTTTGTCTTTGAAATTTCCTACTTCATGGAAAAGTACTGGATACTATGGGCCTATAGGCTGAAGATGGATAACCCCAACAGTACAGAAGAACTTTGGGTGACTGTTCAAGCAACAAGATATCTCTGTCATTTCTAGAGTTTTAGAAGTTGTTTACAATGTACTCCCTGTTTACTTAGGTAATATTCTATCCTTCTGGAATCTTTGATGGAGTTGAAGAATTTATA